CTGTTGAGGCAGCGATTGAGGCAGTGGGTGAGGCAGCTGTTGAGGCAGCGATTGAGGCAGTGGGTGAGGCAGCTGTTGAGACCGATTGAGGCAGTGGTTGAGGCAGCTGTTGAAGCAGCGATTGAGGCAGCTGTTGAGGCAGCGATTGAGGAGGGGGTGAAGCAGCTTTAGCAGCGATTGGGGCAGTGGTTGAGGAAAAGCGATTGAGGCAGCTGTTGAGGCAGCGATTGAGGCAGTGGTTGAGGCAGAGATTGAGGCAGCTGTTGAGGCAGCGATTGAAGCAGTGGGTGAGGCAGCGGTATTTAATAACATACATGTTATTAATAATAATAATACATGTTATTAATAATAATACATGTTATTAATAATAATAATACATGTTATTAATAATATGTACTATTATTATTTATAACATATATGTTTTTTAAATACCACTGCCTCAACTGCTGAATTATTGTGAAATGTTTGGAAGACAGGGAGACTAATGTTCACTCCAGCATAAACAAAGTCACACTGACGATGTGTCAACCACTCCCTCGATTTTTGTACAATTTCCTTCTTAATTATATCGTATTATTATTATTATTATTATTATTATTATTATTATTATTACTACTACTACTATTTTTATTATTAGCAGAAGCAGAAATGTTTGATTCTTTGCTGTGTTCAAGAGTAAACACATGATGTCACCGTCCAATACCTTTCTGAATAGCCATTCCAATATGCAGTCATGAATGGGTTTACATTATTTATACTGTAGTTTAATAGCAAATAATGAACAAACAAAACACTCGCCACACTGAGTGGTGGGAGGGCTGGCTGCCAGTTGCAGGGCTCGGAGGGAAGGTAGTAGGGACTTGCAGTGGTTGAGGAAGTGGTGGAGGCATTGATGGAGGCAGTGGAGGAGTCTGTGGTATTTAACCCTTTGAGGGTCGACAGGCCCTCTCCGAAACTCGTTCTCAGGGTCGGCCAAATTTAAAAAAAAAAAAAATTAAATTTTTTCTTATGAAAAGATAGAGAATCTTTTCCCGATCATAAAGACACCAAAAGTTTGAAATTTGATAGAAAACTTACGGAATTATGCTCTCGCAAAGTTAGCGGTCTCGGCGATGTTTACGCATCGGCGATTTTGCCCACTTTGAGCCCCATTTTCGGGCCCAATTTTTACTGTACTAGTCGACAAAAAACATGAATATTTCGCTAGAACTCCATTTTTTCTATCGAAAGGGGGCAAGAAACCACCCATTTAATAAGTTCAACTATCCAGTACAGTGGTCAGAATTTAGCAATTTTGCCAATTTCACACAAATTTCCCAAAAAATGCCAATTTCCGAATAGGTCCAGAATAAACAAAATAGACATTCCTGGCACTAAAATGACATTTCCTCTAGTCATTAGTCATTCTCAAGGCCCCTCTTATATTCTTTTGCTTTCCACTTTGAATTTTATTTTCACAAAAAAATATAAGATTACTGTTATGCAGACTACTGCATTAGTGTAAAAAATGGTATAAATATTATTGGTGCACTTGTAAAAGAAAATTAGACTCACCAGTTGACGTGTATTGCACGATTGGCCAACGATTTGTTTACTTTTGAATTTTTTGGTAAAAATCGAACATTTCTGCTACTTTGAACTCAATTTCAAGGCACCTTTCTTGTAAAACCAGTCAAAATCATCTCAATTTCTGAAATATTCTTCCATTCTATAAAAGAGACCAAGAAAACTAGAATACAACAATAAATACCATACGAAAATACACTGCAAATCGCTGATTTATTCAAAAAAAATGGTCAAAGTTATTTTTTTCTCATTATGCACTGTGTGTTGCAGGATTTTTTTTAGACTGTGCACACTGACCACATAGACCCATTCTTTCATATGAAGGCTTACCAGCTTTCTCCCACTAGATTTGAGGCCGCTAGAATTTATGAGTACTAGTACGTCAAAAACCCCTACGCGTAAGACGTACTAGTACGACGAAAACCCTCAAAGGGTTAATAACATACATGTTAGTAAAACATAACATGTATATATTTAGTACAATTTACGACGTTTTCATGTATTTTATGATTGTTCATGGTTCAACAAGTTAAGGAAGCAGTATTGTATTATATTTCCCTACAATATATTGGGGCACCAAACATTCACGGTTTTTCAACATTCGTGAGGCTCTTGATCCCCTAACCCTCGCGAATGTTGAGGGAGACCTGTATTATGAAATATTTCGCTGGAGCACGTGAGGGGAACCATCGCTCACTGGTAAACAATGGCACACTGGCTGGGAAGGAAAGGCCAAGGCGGCTCAGAGCATGAGTACGCGTCCAGGACGAAGGACTATTAGCGAGTTACCGGACCATTTGCGAGCCAATATTTTGACGAAAAAACAGGACTATTTCTGAAATGGACAACTTTCAGGCCGGACGATTATTGAGGGACCACTGTACATGTTATTATTATTATTAACAACATGTATGTTATTAAATACCACTGCCTCACCCGCTGCCTCTACCACTGCCTCTACCGCTGCCTCTACCACTGCCTCTACCACTGCCTCTACCACTGCCTCTACCACTGCCTCTACCACTGCCTCTACCACTGCCTCTACCACTGCCTCTACCCCCCTCCCCCTACCATGCCTCACCACTGTTTTACCCCCAGGTACTCAATCTACAAGCACAAAACAAAAATTATTGTAAAATTTGGAAGGGGAAAGAAAATTCACCCCCAAATTGAAAACCCCCCCGTTTTTTTGAAAAATTTTCCCTTCAATTCTTTATTTATTATTTTATTATTACTTTAAAGTTTTTTATTATTAGCAAGCAGAAATGTTTGTTTTTTTGCTGTGTTCCAGAGAAAACAAAATTGTCACCGTCCAATACCTGTCCGAAAAAGCCATTCCAAATGCAGCAAAATGGGTTTACACATTATTTATACTGTAGTTTAATAGCAAATAATGAACAAACAAAAAACTCGCCACACAGTGGTGGGGAAAAGGGGTGGCTGCAGTTTGGGGGCGAGGGAGGGAGTAGGGACCGCAGGGGGTGGGAAAATTAAATATGATTTGGCGGTGGGGAATTTGGCGGTTGGGAATTTGCGAATGTGTGAAACCCCGCGAAAGTTAAAAAAAAAAAATGTTGAGGGGATGTTAACAAAATGCCATTCTGATTTTAATTTTTTAGAAATAATTTCAGAGCCTTTCGATCCTTCAAATTTTTAATCTTGAAAATTTCCACTTAAAAAAGGTTGGAACAATTTTAAAAAGTCATTTGCACCCCATGCTGCCAGCTTTTTTTAATGCTAATCTTTTTTTATAGCAAAAAATTATACTTGCTAAATTATTGCACGAAAATTTAAAAAACGTTATAATCTTTAGCCAAAAAACTTGTACCATACATTTTAAAACTGTATGGTAAAATACGTTTTAGTCTGCCCCAAAATGCAAGGGAAAAAAAAAGACCTTCAAAGCTGTATAAAAGAAGTTATGCCAGAGCTGAAATCAGAACCCAATAACATGGTCTACAACAAAAATATAACTTCAAAAATAAAACTAGTTTTTTTTCCAACAGTTGGCTGTCTCCCCCCCAAAGGGCAGGGTGACCCAAAAAAGAAACATTTTCAACATTTTCTCCTTGCTGCAATATTTAACCCAAAAGGGTTTCCAAGCGATTATGTTCAGTGAAGTGTCAAAAGTAGTTTGTTTTTTTTTACACATTTTCAAATGTAAAAAACAAAAAAAAGATTACTTTTTTTTACTTTCTTTCAAATGTTGAAAAAACGTATATTCTTTTGGGCCGTTTTTTTTTGGGTTAAAGTCATCCATCCAGCCCAATGGCCTTCTGAAAACCTTAGCATTAAAAATTTACAGCCCTTTTAAATTTTAAACAAAACCCTGGGACTCACACATCCCCTTTAAGTCCTTTTATGGAAAAAGTCCCCTCTCTCCCCACTACCCAACCTAAGCCTCATTCGCATAAAAAACTCCTAACTACTTTTGGTTTAATTACCCCCCTTGACACATGGCGAGATTAGATCCTATGTTTGAGAAGAAGTCGTTTATCTTGTTAGCTGTGTCAGTGGGATGTAGTGGTGTTTCATTAGGTTTAGTTAGGACAATATGATTGTGACCAGACTTACCTGGAGTTCATTACCTTTGTAAATTGCGAGTTCATTACCTTTGTAAATTGTGAGTTCATTACCTTTGTAAATTGTGAGTTCATTACCTCTGTAACTTGCTCAGCTATCAAAACTTTGGAGTCCAGTCCCTGGACCAATTATGTACCTCTGTAATCTTTTGACTACCGCCCACAGGATGGGTATGGGGTGCATAATAAACATATTAAACTAAACTAACTAACTGCCACACATTTACATCTACCACATTATTTCCCTAACCATCCTATCATATACCTTTTTTAGAGTCATATGTATAATGAAAGGTTCCATACATTTATCTAAATATTGTTTATATGTATGCCTTAATACAATTTCCAGGAAATAAAATTGATTCTGATTTTGACATGATTGGAGTATGCCGGTGTCAATATGCCCATTTTATTTCTAAAGCTGTATGGTATTTTTTTTACATGAAGCAAGTTGAGTATACCTCCTCTGAATGGCTTTAATCTTGAATGACTGACATCTTATAAAAAGAATGATACCTTCTGAATCTGGGCTGTGTAGGTGCAAATTTACCAACTGCTTCTGCTACTCATGGCATCTCCTAATCATGCCTCTATAGCCCATATTAATGTGCTATAACAAACATACTGGATATTATAACAAATAACCTATATGCATGTCTATACAGTAACATAAAATGAGATAATTTAAGGCTCCTCTCGGCAAAAACAAAATCTCATTTACGCTGGATATCTTGGGATGCAAAACATACAGCATTTGATTTTTTTTTTTTTTAACCTCTATGGTGTCTCCTGACAGGACAGGATAGACTCCAGAAAACATTTATGCTACATTAAAACATCTCTCAAACTTACAAATGGAATACCAAAATTTTTTGCTTGACGGAGGCGGTAAGTATAGCTCAGCTCTTCAGGATAGAGCACTTCAAAGAAGATATCATCTTCGATGAAATCAAATATAGTAGCTTCGTTCCACACAGCATTTGAAACTGAAATAAAGAAATATGTACATTATGTGATTTTGTATATTTACTTATGTACATTATGTAATAAGTAAATATACAAAATTATGCTCTTAGACATAAATATGCCCTCACTGGTTGATAGGTGGAAGAGAGACATGATAACCAAATATCATTAAAGAATAGATACCGGGTAATTTGGTGTACCTTCATCTGAAAGCGCAAGAGATCATAGTTGTAAACTGAGGAAAAAAAGGGAAGCTGAAAAGTTACTGTACCAGAATTAATCCCCTGGTACAGCTGGAAAACATTAGAAAGTGTTTTCATAAGACACCTGATGTGTCTGTTCACCCATCAGTAAAATGGGCACCTAGGCGTCAGTCGACTGGTGTGGGTTGCATCCTGGGACAAAATTAACCGAATTTGCCCGAAATGCTCTGCATAACAAGGGGCTTTCTATATAGTATTATGTTACTGATGTCAGCTAGGCCTGTATACCTTATACATGTACTTTCAGAAATAATTATATTATTATTGTATAAATGATTTAGATAAATAAGAAAAGATAAATGTACACACATTAAACATAAGCTAGAAGTTTGAAGAATTCACCTGCCATCTTGTGTGTTAAACCCTTTTACTGTCTCCCATGTACATTTCCATTACTGATGCTAGTGGTGTTCATGTAGATATATGTTTTCAGCACAGTGCTTTTAAATATGCTGCAAGTGGTAAATTTTGGTCTGGACATGAGAGGCTGGGTCTGTGCTATGAGTGTGCATATATAAATAAAAAGAAAATCCTGCCCATACAGTACATGATGGAAAAAGCAAACCTCTGATCTTGTGTTTAGATAAAAAAAAAAAAATTACGAGCTACAGAAATTAAGTAACAGTAGGGTATTCAAATTTATTATATTTTGAACTTTATAATACAGATATAATCTGATACAATATAAGGGTCAGAAGAAAGCCACAAATTATGCATATGCATTTTGGGTAAACTAATCATAAGGCTTCCATACTATGTACAGTACAGTGGACCCTCCCTTTTCGTTGATCTCCATTATTCCCGATTTCCGCTTTCGTCAACTTTTTTTCGTTAATATTTTGGTTCCATTTTCATCGATGGTACAGAACCTGTCCAGTGCCCAGCACGCAGACAAAGCCACTTCCCACACGCATTCTCAGGCAGTGTCGTGTTGTTTCTTGGCGAGTGAACATATCCTGCGAGGTCATACGAAACATTTCGTAATACACCTACCATCCGATTTACGACCTACTCGACATACGACCACTCGACTTGCAACCATGTTTTTTATGCCAAATTTCTGGGAAATAAACAACTGTTTGTGTTGTACACAGTGTTTATCCTAAACCTTACGGTATAAAATACAGTACTAACAGCATAAAAAGTAAAGTAAAAAATGAAATACCAAAGTAAAACAATAAAATCATTACAAAAGTGTGATGTTGATGTTCAGCAGTAAGGTTCGACTTATGTCCATTTTGACTTATGACTGGTTGGTCGGAACCAAGCTTGGTCATAAGTAATCCATTGTTTTTAGCACTTGTTTATTATGTGTGACTACTAAATAAGCCACCATGGCCCCAAAAGAAAGCTGCTAGTGCCAGTCCTTTGGTAAAGAAAATGAGAAACATCATAGAAGTGAAAAAAGAAATCGTTCAAAAATATGATAGTGGCATACGCATTGCTGAACTCGGCAGAATATACGGGAAGGCGCCATCAATGATCAGCTCCATTGTGGCAAGAGAAAAGAAATCACAGAAGCTGATGTTGCAAAAAGAGTGAATGCAATAACCAAACAGATCCCAAACAATTGAAGTGGAGAAATTGTTACTGGAGTGGATCAGAGAGAGAGTTAGCAGGAGATAGTGTTATGCAGTCGATAATTTGTGAAAAGGCAAGGCAGTTGCATGCCAATCTCAAAGAAACTGCCTGAAACGAGTGCTGATGTTGGCGAATTTAAGGCCAGCAAAGGCTGGTTCGAAAAATTCAAGAAGCAAAGTGGCATACACGTTGTAAGGCATGGCGAGGGTGCCAGTTCAGGCAAACAAGCAGCTGAAAAATTCGTGCAGGAATTCAAAGGTTATGTAGAGGCTGAAAAATTCCAACCCCAACAAGTGTTCAATTGTGATGAAACAGGCCTGTTTTGGAAGAAAATGCCAAAGAGGACCTACATCACACAGGAGGAAAAGGCACTCCCAGGACACAAGCCAATGAAAGACAGGCTAACTCATGTGGTAATGCTAGTGGGGATTTCAAAGTGAAGCCTTTACTAGTGTATCACTCTGAAAATCCCAGAGTGTTCAAGAAAAACAGTGTTGTCAAGAGTAAATTGTGTGTGATGTGGAAGGCTAACAGTAGGGTATGGGTCACTAGGGAAATTTTCCTGGAATGGTTCAATGAAGTGTTTGGTCCAAGTGTAAAGAAATACCTCCTGGATAATAAATTGCCACTCCAGTGCCTCCTGTTAATGGACAATGCTCCTGCTCATCCTCCAGACTTGGAAGACCAATTATCTAAGGAATTCAGTTTTGTAACAGTAAAGCTCTTGCCTATAACACCACTCCTCTCATCCAGCCCATGAACCAGCAGATCAGTGCAAACTTCAAAAAACTGTACACCAAAGCAATGTTTCAAAGGTGCTTTGACATAACCTCGGACTCTGAATTGACCCTAAGAGAGTTCAGGAAGAATCACTTCAATATCTTCCACTGCATAAGTCTTACAATTAAGGCTTGGCAGGGAGTGACTTTCAGGATGATGAACTCTGGCTGGGAAAATTGTGGCCAGATTGTGTCCAAAAGAAGGATTTTGAAGGGTTTGTGGTTGACCCTGTCGACCCTACACCTGTTGTGCAATCAACTGTGGCATTGGGGAATCCATGGGGTTGGATGCGAGTGGCGAGGATGTGGAAGAGTTGGTGGAGGACCACAATCAAGAGCTAACCACTGATGAGCTGCAAAAGCTTCATCTGCAACAGCAACAGACCACAGCTCAGGAAATTGCTTCAGAGGAGGAGGAGGAAGAGAGATGGAAGAAGGTGCCTTCCTCAAAGATTAAGGAGATTTGTGCAATACGGACTAAAGTGCATTCATTTGTGAAGGAACATCATCCTGAGAAAGCTGTTGCAATCCGTGCAGGCGACCTTTACAATGACAATGCCATGTCTCGTCTTAGGCAGAAACAGACCTACCTGGACAGATATTTTGTGCAACAGGGGTCCAGTGACTCAAGCTGGTCCTAGTGGCATTAAAAAACAAAAGAGGGAAGTGACCTGAGATAAGAACTTGGTACCTAGAATCTTTATGGAGGGGGATTTCCCTTCCAAAGAATAACCTCTTCCCTCTCCCCTCCTCCCTGTCTTCCATCCATCAACAACAGCCATCAATAAAGGTAAGTGTCATGTTGAATGTTCATTCTTTTGTGCATATAAATCTATCTTTAAGGTAAAAAAAATTTTTTTTTTGTTAATACTTCTGGGTGTCTGGAACGGATTAACTGGATTTACATTATTTCTTATGGAGAATGGTTTCCGTTTTCGCCAACCGCTCTGGAACGGATCAAACACGAAAACCGAGGGTCCACTGTACTTATATCTAGACCTATTATATAAATTTAGTCAGTACAGCTTGGGTAATAAATTAATTATAAGTACAACACAGAACTGGTCAATTACAAATAAGTTACACTGAAATTATATCAGTTCAATGAGCTTCACTGAACTGAGGTGGTGAAATCAAAGCATGAGAATTTACAGTTAGTGGATATAACATTTATGCAAGATCTAACCTTTTTTTACATTTTACATGTACATTAAAAATTTTCAGAAAAATCTCCAGACATATCTTCAGAAATATTGTGTTGGTTTGTTTACTGACATTCATAACAAATAATAATAGGGAAAAATGTGGCCAGATTGTGTCCAAAAGAAGGATTTTGAAGGGTTTGAGGCTGACCCTGTCGACCCTACACCTGTTGTGCAATCAACTGTGGCATTGGGGAATCCATGGGGTTGGATATGAGGGAGAAAAAACATACATGTATCTGGATAGGGAAAATTCATTGAGCACATATTAACCCTCAAGCGGTCCAAACAAATCGACGTTCAAATTCGTAGTGCTACAAAAGTAGATCTACTTTTTTTAACATTTTCATATGTAACAAAAAATAAAATGTAGATAAAAGTTATTTTTGCAAGTTTTCAAATGTAAAACAAAAAAGATCTACATTTTTTACATACTTTCAGATGTTGAAAAAACGTATATATACGTTTGGACCATTTAACCCTTTGACTGTCGCGGCCGTATATATACGTCTTATGAGCCACCGTGTTTGACATACATATACTCATAAATTCTAGCGGCTTCAAATCGAGCAGGAGAAAGCTGATAGGCCCACATGTGAGAGAATGGGTCTGTGTGGTCAGTGTGCACCATATAAAAAAAATCCTAGAGCATGCAGTGCATAATGAAAAAAAAAAACCTCGACCGTTTTTTTTTAATTAAAATGCCGACTTTGTGGTCAATTTTCGTATAGTATTTATGGTTGTATTCTCGTTTTCTTGGTTTCATTTGATAGAATGGAAAATATATTATAGAAATAGAGGCGATGTTGATGGATTTTACTATAAAAAGAACCTGGAAATGGAGCACAAAGTACGGGAAATGTTTGATTTTTGCCGATGTTCAAAAGTAAACAAATTATGTCATTGTCCAATAAATGTCCAACTAGCCATTCTAATATGCAGTCATGAATGGGTTGATGTAATTTTTACAATTATTACAGTATTGCAGTAGTCTGCATAAATAAAATTTCAAAATAGAAAGCAAGAGTAATATCAGAGGGGCCTGGAGACATGACTGATGAACAAAGAAAATGTTATTTTAGAGCCAGGAATGTCTGCATTGTTCATTCTGGTCCTTATTTTGAAATTGTCATATTTTTTAATTTTCGTGAAATTGGCCAAATTGCAAATTTCTGACCATGTTATTCGGTACTTG